TGACGAGGTTGCGGTTTGACTTAGTTCTCCCCATGATCAGTGGTTAGCTGTGCTTGGTAGCGACGAAGGGTGCTAACTTGATTGTTCTAGCTTTCAACGAGAGCACCAAATGATAGAGTATATCTTTTAGATTCTAGAGAGAAGTGAGAGCTAGAGAGAGAAGTGCAATAATATGCTTCAATAGAATGAATTTGTCACACCTATAACTACTCCCAAGGGGAGTATTTATAGAGAAAATTAGGGTTGGGCTCCCAAGCCTTGGACTTGGGAGGCCCATTTACAACTGGACCGCTACTGGGCCGGATACAAAGCCTCTAATGGGCTGTACAAATGAGCAAGTATAGAATCCGATTCTGGGAGGTCTTCGTGGCCGACGAGGGCGCGGCCGACGAGGGCACGGCCGACGAGGGCACGGCCGACGAGGGCACTCGGGTTCCTTGGACTCAGGACCACAATCCGAGTTGGCTTCTTCTCGGCCGACGGGGGCGTCTTGGCCGACGAGGGCGCCACTCTGTTGTCTTGTGCTTTCTGTTCTTCCGAGTATGTGGGTCCTGGGGCTCGGACCCATATACTCCATCACCCATACTTCCATTACTTCATCATATCAATGACCCTCTTCCGTTACGACTTTTATACATCCGTATATATACCAATTACCAATAACAAAGCTCTAGAAACTCCACTGAAAATCTTGAAGACTTGAATTCCTATTTTTTCTTATGTTTTATTTGTTTAGTTCTTTCTTTGTTTTTGACCCATGAGGAAAGTCCAACTATTGAGCCCATTAAAGTCTCATTTGGACTTTCTATTTTGGGAGCTTCTAATTAAAAAGGGGTCTGCCATCTATCTCAAACACAAGGACCAAAAGAGAGCAAATGATTGGGAGAGCACAAGTCACAAAAACATGAGGTGAAGCTCATCCCGTTTTTCGGCAGGCATTAGCAGAAAAGTTCCGTTTTCCAAAGATTGAACCGTTGGATCGTCGTGATTTTTGGACCGAAGGTACACATCATCTATGCCAACATTCTGGACAGTGGAGATCGGGTTTTGAGGTACGGAGGTCGAGTTTCGTTGGTCTGGACAGTAGCTATTTTTCTGGTGATATTTTTCTTATCTTGGCTCTACTTTGATTCCATACACTTTGATGTGCTTAGTTCCAAGGATATGATGATTTTGTATGACTCTAGTATTATCTAGAGAAGACTTTGTATTTCTCCTTTGATGATGATAGTGGATTTAAGCGGCCAAAATGGTCATGTGGTTTTTTCCCTGGTTTATGGGTTTTCCACACTAAAATTCCGGGGTCTTTGTGTTGTGTGTGCTTATTGTTTTTAGCTCAATATTTTGGTTCATAACAGTGGTATTGTGTGTGTTCTAATTGGATTAAGAACACTCTATTTGTTTGCATCCTCAAAGGTTCATTCAAGTTGGGAAAGTTTAGCCAAACGGAAATTAATTCCGCATTTTATTAGTTACCGTTTGTGCCTGTTTTCTCCCATCAAATTGGTATCAGAGCCGAGTTCTTCTGTATTGGGTTAGACTTGTTTGAATGATGGAAGCTAATATAAGTAGGATGATCAATTTAAATGTTCTAATTATCATGTTTGGAAAGGCAAGATGAAAGACCTTCTTTATGTGAAGGATTATTATTTGCCTGTGTTTACTACTGATAAACACTAGTGGAAAAAATGATTTTAATAACGGTTATATAGAAGTTTTAATAACGGTTCAGAACCGTTATTGTTGCAACACCTATTAAAAGTACGGTACTTTTAATATGGGTTCGGGAACCGTTATGGAAAGTTTTTGAATAACGGTTCAATTGGGCTTTTAATAACAGGTATAGGCGTACATGTTAAAAGTCCGGGACATGTAATAAGAGTTATTACCGAACCGTTATTGAAACATTCAATAGCGGTTATACATTAACCGTTATTAAAGATTTTCAATATAGGTTCTAAATATCAGAAACTTACACATATCATCATCGGAACATTTATTCGCAACAAAGTAAACACATATAATTGCTCATAACCAATAACATTCCACATTCACATTATTTTGATCCAAAAATATTCAGCAAAAACTAGGTATGAGTTCACAACATTCATCAAAAACTAACTTTGAGTTCAATAAAACTATGAGTTCACAAGACTTGTCAAAAACTAGCTAAGAGTCTAAAAATTATACTATCCTCCGAATCACATTAATTGCAACATTGGAATATGTACACTATTGATGTACTTTACTTTGACTACATTTTATTTATTAATGTATGTGAATTATTTTTTTTTGAAAAATATTATTAAATTCGTCTCACTACTAAGTTTTATAATCTATTTTTTATTTTATGTTTACTAATACCGAATTAAATATAATGACGGTCAAAGTTGTGTGTTGGCAAACGTGAAATGTTGACTGTTGCAACTAAAAAGAGACGGAGGAAGTATCAAATATCCGTAGCTTCGCAGAAAAATGACGCCCAACGCTCTCGTGTCACGTTGATTTCTTGATCAGTGAATGACTCTTGAACGTTGAATGCCTACAAATTAAATAATGAAACTAAATGAATAAATACAAGAATCATGAAGTAAAAGAAATAACATGTACAGTAACAATAAAATCACAAGTATATGAGAACAAATAAGCTAAAACTTCACCTTCATCGAAGAATCAACAATACCAGCAGAAATGACCGTAGCCATATGTCTCATGACATAGTAGCCACACTCATAACCACCTTTTTGCATTTGGGACTACAAATAAACAAGGGTAAAATTTTATTACACACAAGTAAATTACAAGTGCAATACCAAATCTGATCATTCCCTTACAACCAAAATTCACCTTTCCAGAAAGACAATACTAGCAAATTCAGTGATTATAATATTTCACATCACAATAAACACACAGGATATAAATTTTTATAACACATAAAAATAAATATAAATGGTTATTATTACCATTGATTGAATCCATTTTGCTTTAGAATTCCTTTTGTTTTTTGTCATCTGATGTGCTTGCATCGCCCTAATAAAGTATAAGTATAAAGTAAAAGTTAGTGCTAACAATTGATGGGTCTGTATGGAATCAAAGATAAGACTGCTAACAATTGAGAAGGAGAATTGAGCGGGAGAATTTTATTGCTCATATATAGTGCTTTTAGGTATTATTAGAAGATAAGTTTGCTAACAATTCAATGTTATAACTTTCTCCCTCACATGTAGTTCTAAGTATAAGATAAGAAGACTAAACAATTGAGCGAGATAATTTTTTTCCTCATATGTAGTACTTTTAGGCATAAGAAGAAGCTAAGAAGATAAACTCGCTAACAATTGAGTGAGAGAAATTCCACTCTCACGGGTAGTGCTTCTTAAGTATATAAGATAATCCAGCTAATCGTTGAGAGTGAAAATTTTCTCTTCCATATGTAGTGCTTTTAGGTATAACATAAGGCGACTAATAATTGAACGAGAGAACTTTCTCTCTTATATGTAGTCTTTTTAGATATGATAAGATAAGCTTGCTTGCTAGAAATTAAATGGAAAATTTCTCTCTCATATGTAGTGCTTTTAGTTATTAGAAGATAAAGTTGCTAATAATTGAGCGAGGAAATTATCATATATGTAGTTCTTTTAAATTATCATATAATAAGCCGGCTAACAATTAAGGAGTAAAATTTTCTCTCTCATACACAGTGCTTTTAGGTATAAGATAAGATAATCCGGCTAATAATTGAGTGAGAGAATTTTTTCTCATATGTAGTTGTTTTAGGTATAACAAGATAAACCGGTTAAGAATTGAGCCTGATAATTTTCTCTCACATATGTTAAATTTACTAATGAATGACAAGTTATTATTTAACTAATATTCGTTAATTTTAATATTTATTATATTCACTTAAACTTTATATCACTCACTTATTGTACTCACTTTTTTAGAAAATTAATCTAATCATGAAAATGAATAAGTTACAAATTCTTATTAGTAGTGTCAATTAAGTTTTCCTAATATACTCTTCATTGAATATATATTGTATGAGCTTATATTTTATGGTATTAGCTTATTGAACTACTATAATTTTTTGAAAATGTAGAATCCTAAAATGTTATTTTTATTTTAATATTTAATTAAATCATGAGTAAAAATATATATGCACCAATTGTTTTTTCCCGTGCGTATGCACGGGTGTACTAGTTATTGATGAAACTAATAATCATATGACAGTGATTATTTAGGGTTTGAATTTCGTGATCATCTTATATTTGGTGAAACTAGTAACGGTTTCAGACCTAAAACTAGATTAGAGTTTTTATACCCGATTGAGCAGTTTTTAATTTATATATCCAATTAATCCAAAAGATTGATCGATTCAAAGTCTAGTAAGATAAAATTAGAATCATAAACATTATTAAAAATTATGCATGTATGTCTGGTATGAAACAAATTTAATGAAAAAAAACTAAAAATGTATGAGAAGAAATAATGTTCCAGAAATAATACATTATAAATTGGATTAATTATGGAACATTTGATAAACTATATTTTCAGCTTATCATTTTTATTAGTCAATTTTTTTAGCTAGACACGTAACTTTTCATTTTGCATGTTGAAGTGTATAATGATCAAAGTAAACAAAATTGTAGTTAGTTTTCATTTTGATTTGGTTGATGTTACGGTATATGGTCATTTTAACTATTTTTCATGGAATTGATTGATACAATATATTTTATATTTTAGATACTTTTTATAATCTAGTTGATAAAAGTTTGGATATTTAAATTATTTTGCACTTATTCTAAATGCATAACTATAAGTGCTCATTCCCAAAAACAAAACTATAAGGGCCAACTCTCAACTTTTGGAAAAGAAGAGATTTAAGTGTCGGGCCGGTGGGAGACCCAAGGGATGGGCTTCTCATTTTGATTATCTTGATTTGCAAAAAGAGTATATATCTGAATCAATAATTGGATTTGCCACGTGTAGCGAGTGGATCAAGAGGAAGACCCACCCTTGCCTATGGCGTTCCTTCAGTCCATCTTTCCCAATTCCCTCCCCTCTCTCTCTCTCTCTTCCTTGTTAGCTGCAGCAAAAGATGAAATCTTTCAGTCCTCGCCACCGCCAACTAAAGTAAAAGACAGAGACCCATCAAAGTTTGAAGACAAGTCCTCAAAAACAACAAAAAGGGACCTCCAAAGTCTCCCCAATCTTCATTTTCTTCTTATTCTCTCCCCTTCTTTTGTTAACCCTTTGATCCCCTCCGCTCTCTTTCTCCACTTCTTCTCTCTTAACCCTAAAGATTTCTGGGGGTTTTCTCCTGATCGTCCTCTCCCTGCCTTCTTGTGGCTTTTGATCTGTACCGCTGTACGATCGGGTAATTTTTCATTTTCGTATCTAGCTTTTAGTGCTCTGCTGGTCTAGGTTTTATTCTCGATTCCTGAACTGGACGACTGCCTTGGATTGGCTTGATTTTGCAGTCTTTTGCTTCTTGTTTTGGGTTTAAAGCGCCGATTTTGAATTCAGTCTTTCATTTTGTTAATTAATTAGTAATATCTTTATTTAGTGATAAGAATTGTAAACTACTGATGTTTCCTTTTGGTCTTGCTATTATTTCCTTTCACTGCCGCTGGTTTGTGAAAGAACAGAGCTTTTCGTTTATTATGAATTTGTGATACATGATTGGATTTTCATGTAGGAAGAAATCTCATAGAATTGATGCTTGTATGCTTGTGAAATTCAATTGAGATATTTTCATGTATAGGAGTAATAGGACTAAACATAACACACTTCTACAATGCTTCAAATAGGCCTTCATTGTTGTTTTTACTTATGACTTGCTAAGAAAATGAGTTATTAACTACTTTTGTTCTTGACTAAAGGCCTCATGAATCCTATTTGTGATAGAAAACAAATGTGATCTCTTATATGCATATAATCCACGTTTTACACTTTTACTCCTATTTTGCTGTAATTTCTTAATTTAATTTAGCTTGTTTCCATTTCATTTCATTAACTGAAGAAATCATTCCTGCCAATTTTGAAGGTTAAGATTGTGTTAGATGGAAGGTGGAAATGCGTCTGAGAACCATTTGACTTCAGCTGCAGCTTTTGTGGAAGGTGGAGTTCAGGAAGCATGTGATGATGCTTGCAGCATATGCCTTGAAGCATTTTCGGATAATAACCCTTCATCTGTATGTGTTCGTTTTCTTATTTTCAATTAGGCCAGATTGGAATGAGGTTCCTCATATAAGCATTAGTGACTTTCCATGTACAGGTTACTGTTTGCAAACACGAGTTTCACCTGCAGTGTGTCCTCGAGTGGTATGATTTACTTTACGCCCCAGAAAATTATATATTTCTCATAAGTTATGTGTTTTTGCACAAAAATCGTATTTTGGAGTTATGTTTTTTTGCACAAAAAACATATTACTATCTCCGTCCCGTTCAAAGGTTCCCATTGCAAAATGGTACAGTTATTTGGACAATAATTAATTATATTAATTTGAGTACATTTTAAGAAATAATTTTGATAGTTATATAATATAATGGGGTCATTGATGATTACTGTGATGTTATACATGTAATATTTTTCATACTTGATGATTAAATTGACATTTAAGAGTATTAATTGTTTCCTAAAATGGAAATGGGAACCTTTAAGTGGGATGTCCCAAAAAGGAAAGTGAGAACCTTTGAATGGGACGGAGGGAGTATTTCTTCTGCCCCAGAGTAAGTTTCCCAATTGTCTTTTAATGTGTGCTTTTAGATATCACTATATCAGCATTCAGTTTTATCTCTTTTAAGGGTTTTGCGTTTTAATACAATGTCGTTTCTAAAATGTTACTCCCTCCGTCCTTTTTATTTAGTGAAACACTGTTTTTCAAGTCAATGATGTTAAACTTTGACCGATTATATATTTATACACGGTAATATTGATAATATGAAAATAATATGGAAATGTTCTTTGTTAAAACTATTTTCATAAAAGTCTAAATTAATTAAGTTTCACATAAATAATATGGGGGTAGTATATTTTTGTACTCTATACTAATTTGTATTGTAACATATTAGGGGACAATGAGCTTTATGACCGGTAAAAAGTAACCGCAACAGGAACCCTAATATGGGGACAATGAGCTTTATGACCGGTAAAAAGTAACCGCAACAGGAACCCTAATATGGGATGGAGGGAGTATTAAATAATACAGTTTTGCGCTAACTGCATTTTCTTTCATGTGACTGTTGTTAGGAATATATTTTATTGTGTTCAATTGCATTGTTTATATTTGTATTTGTGTACTAATTATATACTGGGACTTACATTTGGAACCTACAACAGTGAAGTCTCAATTCTCAAACAACATGCAAGTCTAAAATCATTCTCTTATCTTGATATCTCTAAAGTCTAAATTTTTTGGTTGAATTAGAGTCCAAAAAATTACCTGCAGCATAACTCTCAAGTACTTGTAATGGGATATGTGTATGGGCTTATAAGAACTAACTTAACTAATTCTTGCTTCATCATATTCTCCATCCATGTGGACAAAAACTTATCATGACGGTATTGGAATTTTATCTCATTATTCCTTTATATGAAATCCCAACATGAAAAACATCCAACGTAAAATATTTGCACTTTTTTGCATGAATTTTTAGTGTTCGCATATGCAACATAGTTGGGATTAGAGTGGTGATGGGTAAGTTATTGTGTGTTTTTTGTTGAAGTAGAATTCAGTTCCATGTTGTATCCAATGTGGTTTTGTAGGGGACAGAGAAGTTCGCAATGCCCTATGTGTTGGCAGCATCTTAGCTTAAAAGACCCCAACAGGTTTTCTCTTTAGTTTTCAAGACCATTGACTATGTGGACTTTTTTCTTTTTAACTGCTTAATTTTTCCGCATCTCTTCCTTTTGAAATGATGTGACAATGTTATGCTTCCAGCCAGGAACTGTTTGATGCAGTAGAGCATGAAAGGAATATCAGGATGAACCCACCAAGAAATACCACTATATTCCGTCACCCAACCTTAGGCGATTTTGAATTGCAGCATGTTTGTCCTCTTGTTTTAGTTTTATCTAGTCTTTCCTGGGCTCTGTTTGGTAGCCTTATTTGGCTTACTGATTTTTTTCTGCTTGTCAGGATCATAAGCAGAATAAGTAACTCTCAACTTACAATTTGGAATTACATCAAGTACGAGTAAAACATGGTTCATCTGCACAAATAGCAGTGTTGCGTTTTTTGTGCTAAAAATAGAACTCCTTCTTTTCTGAAAAGAATAAAGGGTTTTTTTCTCTTAGTACTAAATGGAATTCTATTTTCAGCAAAAAACAATGGCAGTCCTGTACTCCCATTTGAGGAAATGTCTGATCTTCTAGTCATATTTTTTGAATATTACCGTTAACTTATTTCATTGAAATAGCCAAATAGGTGATACGGAATACATATTTCGTTGAAATAGCCAAAATAATTAAAATACCCCAAACGTTGAACGGGTGTGAGATAAACACCCCAAACTTTCATATGTAATTTAAATACCCCAAGCTTTTAATAAAAAGTCCGTTTAACACCTTGTTCATGTATTATTTATTTCAAAAATGTAAATTTATGGTGTTGATTGTGTAATTTAAAATAGCAAATTGAAAACATTGCAATTATATAGAATGAGGGGTAATACTATTATTTTACAATGGAAGTTTAGAATGTTAATTGTATCTTCATGAATGCTAAAATATTTTAAATTATGAAATTAACACAAAAAACTAACATTTTTGAAAGAAATAATACATGACCATGGTGCTAAAATAACTTTTTATATAAAGTTTAAGGTATTTAAATTACATATAGAAGTTTGGGGTGCTTACCTCACACCCCTTCAAAGTTTGGGGCATTTTAATTATTTTCCCCATATCTCCGAATTAAGTCATTAAGTCGTTTTACCAAACAGGGTCCTAGTTAGCACAGAATTTAATGTGGTGGTTGACAATCATTTGACATGTGTACCCTTGTTGCAGTTACCGGTTAGTGCAACAGATTCTGAACTGGAAGAGCGCATTATTCAACACTTAGCTGCAGCTGCTGCTATGGGCAGGGCACGCCACCTTGCTAGGAGAGCTCAGAGGGGTGGTAGGTCATCATCTCAAGGCCACCCTCATTTTCTGGTGTTTTCCACAAATCCAAATCCGAATTCGTCTCCCATGGTTTCTGACTTCTCCACTCAAATGACTGGAGGTGAACCTTCCCCTCCAGTCCTCTTTGGAGAAGGCTCTCAACAATTGGTTCCCCAAACTGACCAGACTTCTGTCTCTGGAGCAAGTGAACTTGGAACTTCATCAAATAACAACAGGTATCTTTTGTCAATACTGATGATCTGTGTTTGCATCAAGAAATGTTTTGGGAAATGAAAAACAACCAAAGATGTTTTTAATGTTTTCATCTACCTTAGATAATTTGAAGGAAAATCAATTTTGACTATTAATTTTTAGTATTTTACATATACTTTGTTGTGCTACTTTTATATAATTGAAATACATGACTAAATGAGTCTGAACATTTAAACAATTTTGATCTTTTGAGTTTTGACCGTTTTATTGTTGGGGCTTATCTAATACTACGTGCAAAGTAGATTACTACTACCTCCGTCCCATTCAAAGGTTCTCATGGCAAAACGACACGATTATTTAGACAATAATTAAATATGCTAATTCAAGTATATTTTGAGAAATAATTTTGATGAATATATAAAACAATGAGTTATTAATGATAACTGTGATGTTATAAATGTATTAGTGTTATTATTTGATGATTAATTTTTTTTAAGAGTGTTAATTGTTTCCTAAAATAGAAAATGGGAACCTTTAAGTGGGACGTTCAAAAACGAAAGTGGGAACCTTTGAATGGGACGGAGGGAGTAATATAAATCTCATTGACAAGAATATCACTACGTGGTCATGGCAGTCGGTCAAAATCTAATCACCTTTATTAAAGGGAGCGGCCCGGTGCACATTAGCGTTCCCGCAAGGCGATGGTCGGGGAAGGTCCCACCACAAGGGTGTATAAGAGGCAAGTCTTCCATTGTCGTGGTTGACAAGAGGCCGCTTCCAAGACTTGAACTCGGTACCTCTCGGTCACAAGCCACACCGTAACCGGTGTGCCAAGGCTGCCTTTCATGTAACCATGGTCACTGTCAATTAAAGTAGAACATCATCACTGTGGTCACCAGTCACTATGCATAAAAAATTCAGAAGTCATATTTTTTGTCCAGTAGGCAATTATGTCATCAGGAAACATAATTTGCAATGGAGCCAAAGATTCACTATTTTTGGCTTGAGAATATGATGGAATAAAGCAAAATGGCTCACTAAACTGTCTGTGCTTCTTTGTTATGAAGCATCAGTCGATCAATGCAATTTTGTACGCGATTTTCATTATGGGTCATCCAGAAACAGTCTCCATGCGCTTTCGTACAGGGGTAAGACCGCGTACATCCGACCCCCTTACCCTACCGTAGGTGAGAGCTTTTGACGCACTGGGGTAATGATAATGATGGAGGCAATTATGTCATCATTACTATTCCTGAAATTTGTTCACACCGACACTTTTTTGTCTACACAGGCAACTAATGTCTGTGTACACCGACATTGATTTCCGTGCAACCAGCCTGGCAGATCTGAAAACTAATTTTATTCACACCGACAGTTTAATTGAAAGTGTCTGTTTTTGCCGGATTTTTGTTTGTGTGCATGGAAAATAAAGAGGGTGTAACCCAGGGTGTAACCCGCAGGGTGTACACCAAGAATTGTGTTCCAAATGGATCCATAGTAGTTGGAAATTTTGGGTTACAGAATCTACTGGTTTTCTTGTCGATGCTTGGTCATAGTTGACTTTGTTTGTGTGCTTATATCTTAGTTTTTTAAACACAAAACTTTGCAGGAGTTCTCCTTCTCCTTTTCCTCAGAATCAAAACAGAGCAGGACCATCCGATTTTCAGTCCTTCTCAGAATCATTAAAATCGCGTCTAAGTGCAATGTCAATGAGGTACCAAGATTCCTGCTGCATTTTATGTTAGCTTGTGTTTTCAGCAATTTCAGTGTGAAAATTTTAATGTTCTTTTATAGATACAAAGACTCCATCACCAAGAGCACAAGAAGCTGGAAGGAGAGATTCTTCTCTCGTAATAATGCTGTCTCAGATCATGGTTCTGAATCTAGAAATGAGGGGAGTTCAGGTATTTCCGCTGTATCACACCTAATGGAACGCCTTGACACTAGGGAGGAGGGTAGTAGTACTCCCTTTTCTTTTACAAATACCTTGGAGGAGGATTTGCCACATTTACAGCAAGATCACCCTGAACAGCTAATATCGCGGGTTGGTGGTAACCCTTCTTTGAGTGGGAATAGCAGTCAAACTTCACAATCCACATGCTAGTATGCTTCAGTCTGAGTTTTGATGGAATAGTTATCAAGGTACTTCCTTTTTGCTCATAAATGTAATGGGTCATTTCATAATTTTTCAATTTGATTATTAAAAATTAAGACTGATACTTTTCAAATGAACAGTGGCAGGAAGTTGCACTTAGTTTCAATTCTGTTACTGTCTCCCCCCCCCCTATTTTTAAGTGCTTTGGCCTGCAACTGAATGCACTGTATCATTCTTATCTTCACTGAACGACTGCTTATTAACTTATCGGTTACGGGTCCAGTTTCGGGTGATTTGAAATGGGATTTATGCCAAATCTATAAAAAAGACAAGAACAGTAATTGGGTGGCTGTTGACCAGATTTCGGGTGCCTGTTTAACATATTTGTCACTTCAATGGTTTAATCTTTTTGCTCATTGCCCTCATACTCATTTTTTGCTATTAAATCATGACGATTCATTCATTTAACCAAGTATCAGACGCCGAGAATGATATAATAGAACAGGCTTACATTTACTGCTTGCTCCAATGCTAAACTGATTTTTTTTTGTGGGATTGTTTATTTGGTTTCAGATGCATAAGCTCTGTGAAAGAAGCAGTATTGGCGTCAGATTTAGATTATGTCATCTAAAGGCCGTCTCTGTCCCTGAACTGAAAACTGAATTTTTTCGTTCATTTCTCATGTTCTGTGTTATGCATTCTAATGAACGTTTGAATTCATTAAAGGGCACATTACTCTTACCTTTATATATATATATTCATTTATAATGGGGCGTAGTTGGGTGAGAGCTTTATACACTTGCTAGATTAAACCACAATTTCTAACACTGTTTGGCACTGTTTGACACCGTTTTGCACTGTTTTGGTAAAGATTTGTTTACCAAATAAAGAAATAAGGAAGTGTGTCAAAGATTGTCAAACGGAGGGAGTACGTTGTTTGGGCAATTATCGGAATCGGGCAATTATGACATTCTAGGCAATTATGCCATTCTAGGCTTTGCCTTAGAGAAGGAAGATTTAGAAATTTGCAATATATATGTTCTAGAGATTTATCCAATTCTAAGAAAAAAACGTTAACACCATTTGACCGGATTGATGAGCAATAGATTATTGAGTCGCAATTACTTATCCTCTTCACGAGGAAGAGATCAATTTTTTGGTTCTACTTCAAAAAAAGTGATTTTCAAAGCCGGTCTACCCTTAGCTTCTAAAAAATTGTTTCTAGGAGTAGATTAGACCATCAAAAGTACTTATACACTTTATTCCAAACACTTCAACTTCTTTTTCTGTAAAGAAGCAGAAACAATTTTAAGAATCAAATTTTGGTAGTGTTTGAGAAAAAAGTGATTCTGAAAAATTAAAAGTTGTTAGTGTTTGGTAAAATAAGTGTTTTTTGTGTAATAGAAAAAAGGAAAAAAATTTAAAGATCATTCCATTTGCTATTGATTTTTAGCTTTTAAATGTTTAATTTAAACAGAAGTTATACGTCAGCTTTTTTTAAACCAAAAGCTGAAAAACATTTTTTTAAGTTATACGTCAGTTGGCAATTAAGCCAATTAGGGGTCATGTTGAGCTTTTATTCATTATACCCGCATATTTCATATTTGATGTGATTGAAAGTTTTGAATTTTATAACAACAAATACGTAGTAGTGTAGGATTATATTTCATCCTAGAAATATTTATACTATAAATTGAAATTTAGTACTCCCTCCGTCCCATTTATGGATGGACTCGGGCCGGCTGGCCCGACCCGGAACCGGCTGGCCCGACCCGGAACCGGCACTGTTCCGACCCGGCCCGACCCGCTGGTCCGGTCAGTGATCGGTCCGGGTAGGCCTGACCCGTGGGTTTTCCGGTCCGGGCTCGAGTCACCCTGAACAAGGCCCGATCCGTCCGGGCCCGGTTCGGGCCAAAACTATTTTTTTTTTCAATTTTTTTTAACTTTTCGGGTTGGGCTGGGTATTTTGGGTCATTTGGGGTGGTTTGGGGGTTTGAGGGTGGGAAGGGGGTTACTTAGGAAGAGGGGGGAAAATTGATAATGGGCCCGGCCCGGACCCGGGTCCACCTCTCCTGAACCGCCGGCCCGCCCGGGCCTAGGCCCGACCCGGACCCGGCCCGGACCCGAGTCCACCCCTAGTCCCATTAGAAGGTTCTCATTTTCCTTTTTTGGACGTCCCATATAAAGGTTTCCATTTCCATTTTAGGAAATAATTAACAATCTTAAGTGACAAATTAATGATTAAATATTAAAAATAATATATTTATAACATCATAGTTATCAATACTAACTACATTATAATATATACATATTAAAATTATTTCTCAAAATATACTCGAACTACTTTATTTAATTATTGTCTAAATAACCGTGCCGTTTTGCTATGGAAACCTTTCAACGGAACGGAAGTATTACTACGTATTATATTTCTCATTACGCAGTAAACATATACGAGTAACAAATACTCAAGTTCTCTTTAGTCGTTATTTCTTATCATATTCAAATTTGTTTTCTTGATTATAATATAAATACTAAATTCCTTCTAATAATATAAAGTACATGTGGTTATTACATCAGTGAAATTTTGTAATAGCCATCTCTAATAGTTTTGAAATAGTAATTCATTTAAAAAAATTATTCTCAAGTATGTATGTGACATATTGTCATATTCTGACCCTTTATGTGTGTAAGAGAAGTTTAACATTTGGAAACCTATAGATTTGGACTTCGAATAGTCATCATACTTAATCTTAACTTGGTAAGTTGGTAACAGTTTCACAAGACATATAATTTAAGCGGATGTATATTTTTGTGAAGTAATTGAACAATATGTCAATATGGCTTTCCGGGGTTGATTTTTAAAAAATGCATATAAAAATGGATTATTTATATCAATGTCGACTAAAGATACAAATAAAAATAACTGTAGAATAAGTACCAAATAGAACATATAAAAAGACCTAACGTGAATCAATATACTATTCGCAATCCGCAAATTATACCGTGATACCGGTATATCTTGCACATGGTATATCGGTATCACATACGGCATCATTTTTCCTTCTCTAGAGGAGCACTACGTACGTTAGTTTCATTTCTTTCCCATCAAGAGCCCTTCAGATTTCTTTGGAGCACTGTCTCTTTATTTTTCTTTTTTGTTTTCTTTCATTTATTTTCTTCTCTCTATCTAAATATTAAAAACTAATTTTGATTTTTGTAGTATTTATTTTTAACTAATTAAATTAAAATTAAATTAACTTTTTTCTTTACCAATTTATTACAAAATTTTCCTAATCCACATAAAATAAGTACTACAAATTTATTTTTGGTGTAATATTTTTTACATTTATACACTTTTTTTGTAAAATATTTTTCATATTCATACACTTGTTTCATACACTTTTTGGTGTATTATTTTCATTTAAAACATTTTTATGGCCTTAATACTAAAAGCAAAACATATTAACTATTTACTTCAATTAATTGAGAAATTAGACTCCTTATTTTCATTGTTTACATTTGATAGTATATGAAGTTAAATCTTCTTATTAGCGAATTACATCTTCTTGTGCATGCGTTACATCTTCCTATGCGCGAGTTACATTTAGACTTGTCTCAACAAGTTACATTTTGCATACTCCTAAGTAAGATCTTCCATCAACGCGAGTTACATTTTTTCATAACACGTATTTCATCACAAAATAAACTCCAACTATTGAAACAAAAAAAACATTTTTTTGCAAACAATTTTTTTGTTGTTGGAAAAAAATGATTTTTTTTTTGCAAAAAATTGTTTTTTGCAAACAAAATGATTTTTTTTTGGCAAAAAAGTTATTTATCATTGAAACATTTTTATGGCCTTAATACTAAAAACCATACATATTAATTATTTACGTAAATTAATTTGAGCAATTAGACTCCTTGTTTTCATTCTTTACATTTGATAGTCTATGGACTTACATCTTCTTATGCGCGAGTTACATATTTTTATGCGTGAGTTACATTTGGTCCAAAAGGTGGAATCTCCCACCCCAGGAGCCCCCCATACCCCGACCCGACAGGATTTTTGGGAGGATGTTAATCACGGTGACTCAGTCGGCCCAATGATGGTAGGCCTTTTTCTCGTGCGCACCAGAGGCCCAGCCTTATTTCAGGTTCTGTGACCTCCACACGGCCGCTGCGTGTTTCGAACCTTGGTCACTCGGTCCAAATTTCCCACCACTGAACCAACTGAGCTACCCGTGCGGGTATGCGTGAGTTACATCTTCTTATACGCGAGTTACATTTAGACTTGCCTTAACAAGTAACATTTTGCATACACCTAAATTAGATTTTCTATCAACGCGAGTTACATTTTCTATAACACGAGTTACATAATTATAAAGCTCTGCTATTCAAACAAAAAAATCAGTTTTATGCAAAAAAAAATTTGCAAAAAAAAAAAGATTTCTTAGGCAAAACATGTGATTAAAAAAAATAATTTTATGGCCTTGATATAAAAAACAAAACATATTCACTATTTAAGTAATCTCTTGCTATTGAAACAAAAAAAACAGTTTTTTTTTTCAAAAAAAAAGTTTTTTTGGGAAAAAACGATTTTTTGGCAAAATAAACGGTTTTAAGAAGAAAAAAACATTATTTATGGTCTTAATATTAAAAACAAAACAAATTCACTATTTATGTAAAGTAATTGAGCAATTAGATTCCTTATTTTATTTCTTATAATTCGTATTAGACAAGTTACAATTAGACTTGCCTGCAGTTACATTTTTTATCAGCGTGAGTTACATTTCTTTACACGCGAGTTATCATTCGTGCTACCAGGATAAAGAAAAAAAAAACAGCTACTGTACACGCGTGTACTATTCACGCGATTTTTTTTTTGTAATTGTGTAAAACTACGTTGTTTTGAAGGTGGAGCATGATGTTCACCGTGGGATGATCCCACGGTATACAAATTGTTCGCAATCATGTTTGAGCGTCTAATTGTATAATCCCTATATTCCGTTTTTATCTCCTACTTTGATTTTGTAGATGAGTAGATGGATTATGAAAGAGAATATTACCCGAAATAGGACTAAAAAAGTTTTAAAATTTCAAAATAGGACTGTCATGTTTTTATTTCCAAAATATGACTAATTACTGCCATATATGTTATGGCAGTACCAAACTTCAAACATGGTAGTATTTTCTAAACTTGATAGTAATTACTCATATTTTAAGAATAAAAAACATGACAGTCCTATTTTGAAATTTTCAAACTGTTTTAATCATATTTCGAGAACTTTCCCATTATGAAAATTAAGTTTGTATGGTTGAAAGTCTTCCAATGAGGGAAAAATAAATGAAGATATTTTGAGACTACACAACTATAAAGTGATTTCTCGTTATTTGGGATCAACCCATTATCAGGATTAATGATTAATAATAGCGACCGGGCCTAATTAGGATCCCGACCCGGAAAAGGAACCCATAACCAGGCCGGACTGGACAACAGACCTCGAGCCTGGGCGGAGTTCTAGCGAGGTCGGGCTCATCCCAGGGCTTACATGACAGGCTATCATTGTAGCATAGCTATCTGGTAGCGGCAGGAAATAATAGAAGAAACGTGAACCTAGAGGAACAATGATTGCACAATGTTCGAGACGTTACATAACTCTTACTATAATTAAATGCATTAAATGTATCAGTTTCCTCCTAGAATACAAGAACCAAAGGTCTATAAAAACTTCATGTACACATCTTACAAAGGATCCGAATCCTGGAATAATAATACACCCTTACACTGCCTAAGTTTCATCTGCTCTCGTAGATTAGCTCTCGTAGTTGGAATTAAACTCCATCATTTGGTGCTCTCGTTGAGAGAACGATTTACGATGACGATGGTTGGATCGCACAGTCACAACCGTGCTGGCAGCAACCAAGGCGGTGCTCAAATGTACCAAGTTGTGATCGAAGACGAAGGATCTCGTTCTCGACGGAGCAATTTCCGGAGAACACATGACAACATGGTGACTCCAGGCAACCTGAGGAACCGTCTGCATGGTGTTGGGAGCTCTAGACACCCTACGCACGCTAATCACAATTCCAAACGCCGGTAACCAGGAATCTCGTCCCATGCATGGATCCCGCACAAGCTTTGGCTAGTTTGGCGACATTCCGGAGGGCCGTGGAAATCTTAACCACTACCTTCCAGGGAATTGTTTCCAACACTAGTGCATAACCTCCTTCCCCTCTACGAGTTTCATGCAGAGGATTTTCTCTAACCCTAGACGGGTCAGCCCAAGAATGGTAAGACTCCTTACATGATGGAAGAATACAAAAATTTGAGGAACTAGCCCAAGCATTCATCGCATGATTTGCCAGCTCAAAGGACTCCAAGAAGAATTTCTCTCACCTCTTGGGGTTCAAGCAAGGGCGTCAAGAGACCCTAACTGCCTTCCTGGCTATCTGGAGGGATGGATCAGTAAAGGTTGACGACCTGTATGACAGATCTGCCGTGGCAATCTTTACTAATGCCTTGAGGTTGGGAGAGCTACATAAAAAGTTCGTGTGACAGCCCCCGACCTCACATGAGGAAGCCCTGCGACGAGTGGTCCACCTCACCTACGTAGTGGCCCATCAGGAAGGCGAGCCTTCAGCAATCAGCTTGACGGCCATCTCGTTCCCTTTCGACAAGATTGGCATCACTCACCTCCGGATTAGCTCCCCCACTTTTTCTCGAACGGGAGCTTGCCGTTCAACAGGGTGACCCAAAACGACTTATATCTCCAACCCTTAAAGGAATCCGGGTAAAATTTGGCCGCAAACAAATGATGCCCAGCCGGTTGGGAGATTGAAAAATAACCCTGGATGTCAAAGGCCCATGGATCTTACGGAATGAAAGAAATTGAGGAACAGGTCGAGGTAGGGTTTAATTTTCAAAGAAACACATCAGGCAATGAACCTGGGTGGTGGGAGAAAGGTGACCCGAAATGACACTATAATGGCGCAAGATATCCAGAAGAGCAGGATGGAAGGGGAATCGCAACCTGACTTGCAGGCACGCTGGGTTCGGCGAAGACCACCACCTCGTGAAATTCAAAATAAGAGAGGGTGGCAGCCGGAATCTCCCGGGCGAAGTCCGCGAAGAGGTAGAAATGGGTCTCAACCCCATGGGAATCTACTGGAATTTGGGGTCGATTTGAACTGGCCCCATCGTCAGGAGAGATATTGTGAAGTGGAACGGAACTAGAGGAAGAAATGGAACTGACCTGATGATGAAGGAAGTTCTTTCCGCCTAGGGTACCCAACAAAGAAAGTGAAAGGCTTGAGCGAAGGAGATTTTGCGGAAGTTTTCTATCAAAGGGAAATGAGCGTATATGAAGGCACTTTCCAAAAAACCGCTTGAAAACCGCTACTCAAGCATTCAAATGCTGAAGTTGGTGGGGCGGGTTGGAAGTTGTGTCGGGCTGCATGCACATGTCACATTAAGATTGCATTCAATGCTGAGCAGCGCTACGGATCACGAAGGAAAGATTCGAAATTCAAAAAAAGGCGGCTCGTTACTCTTCTAAAATCAAGCATAGCTTATTTTAGAGAGTAGGGGGCTCGTGATGGTACCATGGATCACAACCATGTCCCAAGAACAAATTGGACAAAGCCCATCAACGGAATCGGCCACTTAATCGGGATTAATAATTAATAATAGCCACTGGGCCTAATTAGGATCCCGACCCGTGAAAGGAATCCATAACTAGGGTGGGCTGGACAACAGGACTCGAGCCTGGGCGGAGTTTTAGCGAGGTCAAACTCATCCTAGGGCTTCATGGCAGGCTACAGTCGGAGCATTGTTATCTGGTAGCGGCAGGATAAACTGAAGAAACGTAGACCTAGAGGAACAATGATTGAACAACGTTTGAGATGTTACAGGACTCTTATTATAATGAAACGCATTAAATGTATTTGTTTCCTCCTAGAATACAAGAACCGAATGTTTATAAATACTTCATGTACACATCCTACAAAGGATCTAAATCCCAGAATAATAACACTGCCTTACGTTACCTAAATTGCATCTGCTCTCGTAGATTAGCTCTCATAATTGGAATTAAACTCCATCATAATCAATGTTAGAGCTAGTATAAATTTGAATCGCTTCTGCACAGATGTTGAGCTATGAGTAACCAAGGACTACTTCGTTATTTTGTAAAATCATACTAGTATAATATTTGTTGAATCGTTGATGGCGTAGGTTTCATATGTTTGTCTTACATTCACTAAATATGAAATAAAAAAGAGATAATTCTCAATATAGAAGCAAAACATGATACAATGTCAAAAATAGGAGTAGTTGTTTAAAATCCTCAAAATAGGATTTTTTATATATTAATTGACAAGAATAGTGTGGCACTTCCCAACATTAAAACTCACCGAATCTGTAGTTATTGTCTAGGATCTTTATGTATAAAACCGGTGGGCATAACTCAACTGGTAGCAAGGGAGTGACACAATCACACAAGGGTTAGGTCCCGGGTTCGAATTCCGACAACTGCGATGATGGGTTATATGTTAAAAATGCTTAAGACCTCTGCAAGTACCGGGGATAGAGCACCAATCTCTATCTGTCAGATTGGGATTATAGTCCAATTTATGAAAGAGATGGGGAGAATTTATGTCACACCCGTTAACTATATACGGAGTATATAGAACCAAGATAGGAGAGTTTGGATCTCATTATTATAACATGATCTTGATTAAAACCAATTTTCTCAAGCTGAATTAGGGGTGGACCGAACCGGGCCGTGAACCGGGCCGGCTCGCTACTGTGCAGGCCCTGATGGTTGGTTCCGGGCTTTAGCCCGGGTTGGGCAGGCCTGACAGGCCAGGCTCTGTTTTTCTTGAACCGGCCCGGTTCATTTTTTTGTTTTTTCAATTTTTTTTTCTTTTCCTTGGGTAGACCTGGGTGTTTTGGGGAGGTTTGAGGGGTGGGGGTGAGGGGGGTCGGGGTTAATTAGAAAGCAAAAAAAAAATTATACATTGGACCGGCCTGACCCGGAGTCCCGGACCAGCCCAGTTTGGCGTGGACCCAGTATCAACCCAGGCTGGTTCCGGACCCAACATCTGGAAAAAAGCCCGGCTTGAACCGGCCCGGAGCCCAGCCCAGCCCAGGCCCGGTCCATGCCTAAGCTGAATTCATATATAGTGTTTGTATTTCTCTGAATAGACTGCTAAATATTGCACAATTTTTGGTTAGAAATATGTATAGAACTATAGAACATGATTAATTATGACAAAACACCAATTCATAACGCACTTTAATTACGAATTATGTAAATGTAATAGATTCGAGACATCTAGCAGACACACCAGTCCAGTAAATTCAAGGTTACACTTGCAAGTAAAATTTACACAAATTATATTGCGCAGTTCTTTTAGGGACAGTTCTCTCGATCTAGCCATTGCAAATTAGATTTGCCTTTTCAGCCACAGCCAGAGGCAAACCAAATGAACACGGGGACAACTCGCGCTACTCGAATTTTTTGATCAAGGAAAGGTCGTTTAACATCTTCTCAATCGCCTCATCATCCAGCGAGCGTCCTCTGTTCTTAATAGACGGGACCATGGCAATGGCTTCCTCCACTGTTTCTGGGCAGAGATTTCCCAAAACACATAGCTCAAACTCAGTAAGTTGATACCTACTCAGGATTTCCCGAACTTGTCTGACTGCATCCGGGTTCTTGTATCGACTAAAACGCTGAACGTACTGGAGCGACTTCTCAAAGACTCTGGAACATAAAATAAATTATGTCAGAACTCACATTAACAATAAGCAACTATGACATATTTGTGCAGTTGGACTTATTTCAATACCAGACCACACCACCACACTAGCTGAGACTTGAACAGATGAGAACAGATCAGACATAAACATACCAAACCATACCAAACTTGCATTACATAGTAGTACGTACTCAAATAAAATACATACTTCGTACTCCGTATAATATAAACACAGACTAACTTAAACAGACAAGGTCAAGTCAAGAGCGGAAGTTAACCAAATTATTAGCAAAAACTGGACAGTATCATCAGACTTACTGAGACATATGATTTGATGGATCCTCAGACATCTGCTGAAACTGCTCATACTTGTGTTCAAGAATCAAAGCAACTTCACAGTTCATCAGGCACTTGGCCTTGTGAAACTCTGAAACCACCATGCCAGATGAACATAGGTTAAAACTATTCCAACACCAAACGCTATGACATATGTAAGCTGAATGATGAAATTTTAACATTATTACAAGAATTTCAACAATGACTTATTTTTTTTTCAAGGCCTCTAGTATACACAAGAGGATAATGCAATTTATCCAGAATCTCAAGAAAATATTGGAGCATGTCTAGAAATAACAAAATACTTCGTATATCATAACAATTCAAGATATATGAGGATTGAGGATGTTTCTACAAATACCCCCTCTAAAAAATTAAATATCAAATTACGAATACCTAAATATCTATAGGTCATTATACCGTAAGTCATATTACCAGCAAATTCGTAAATACAGATATTCCTTGTGTGCACACGAACAAAAATAAGATTTGAGGAAGAAAACTTAGAACCCTAATTCTCTGCGCGGATTTAGCTATAAAATTTCTTTAGTTCTTCAGCCCAAACATAGCGAACCGTCGGAACTTTGACCTAGAAATTCTTAAATAAACAAGATTTCGACGCAGAAGAATGGAACCAAAAAGAGAGAAACTGGTGGATGGTTGTGGAGGTACCATCTCCGATCTTAAGCTCCGCGGCATTCTCTTCCTCTTCTGTCGACATCTTCTTTGAGGAGTGATTTTTATGTTTCTTGGCAGCTCCCAATATGAGTAATGCGGCTTGCGTAAGATTATCTTAACTAAATAAAGGCCCTGTTTGTTTAAAGGCGGTTGGGTAAATGGCACCGCACAAGGCAGGCCCAATACTCCGGTAGATCTAAAGGGCCAATACCTTTGTTCCAAAAGGTAGAATCTCCCACCCCAGAAGCCCCCGCCCTTATCCGATAGGATGGTGAAGATGTTAGTCACGGTGACTCAATCAGCAGAATGGAAGTAGACCCATACACCCATGCGCACTAGAGTTTTAGCCTTATTTCAGGTTCTTTGACCTCCACCCGGTCACTGCGGGGATTCGAACCTTAGTCCATTGTTCTAAATCTCCCACCACTCGACCAACTGAGCTACCCGTGCGGGTCTAAAGGGCCAGTACCTTGATAAAGGGGAGGGTAATTCTATTTACAAACCCTCATTTACTAAACACAACCCACTTTTTCTTTAATTCCGATCATACCCTTATTATGTTACCCAACACAGCCTCGGCACTCGCACATCCAAGGAGCAATGTAGATGCAACAAAGCTTTAATGATGATGGTTGCTCCTCTTCTAAGTTCTAACCATACATACATGTATAGATATAAAGTTACAGAGTAATTAGGAATTAGTTTGTATTATACTCCCTCCGTCCCCCTGTTATTGTCTCATTTTCTATTCACTTGGTCAACACAAATCACACTTAATCTCTTACTTTATGTATCAATTTTTTATCAAATTTGATTCTGGTTTTTGCGACTTTGTAAATCTTTTAATGTAGTTTCTGAATATGTAATTTTCTTTTTCTAAAAATAATTTGAGTGCGGACAGGGATCTGTTTGCTTTATCGTCGGTCAAGCATCGTAAGCCGCAATGGGACAATAACAGGGGGACGGGGGAGTAACTCATTATAACACAATCCGCCATTGGAAATATTTATTATATTAATCAATCCATTTAATCAGCCAGTTACGGATGTAGCTGAAAATCAAGGAGACGGAGGTCTTCTTGGAGCTTCTCAATGCAGGATGTGGAGGATTCGGACGAGAGAGCGGCAGAGGAGAAGCGACCCGAATCAAAATCAGGTGACAGGAATGTGGAGTAGATTTGGTCGGATCCGAACAAGTCAAAAGGTGATCTATCCTTGAAATTTCTTAAATATATATTTTGGAATGTTTTATATTTCTGGGCCTATTGGACTGTTTACTTATTTTAGGCCTGTTAGCCCATTAGTATAAATATCATTCCAACTCTGTAATAGGATTAGGTTTTCATATTCTTCTCCGCAATCTATCTTCATAGATTACGAATTTGCTCTCTCTGTAAATCAATTGTTCTTGCTTCCAATTCAGATTTCAATTTCTATTAGAATTCACATGGTATCAGATTAAGGTTTAGATCCTTACTGATTAAATCGATTCAATCGATCTTCTTCCTAATCGATTTCTACAATCGATTCGTATTTTTTTCTCTCGTTTGCATCTTCCGCAAACCCTAGCTTCGATGGCACAGCAGATAAATCCCATTGACGATTCATCTTCGCCTTACTACCTTCATCCGAGCGATCATGCGGGACTTCGCATCATCTACGAAACCTTCACTGGCGAGAACTTTGGCGCTTGGAAGAAATCGGTCACCATGGCCATGGCGGTGAAGAACAAGATGGGTTTCCTTGATGGATCACTTGCTCAACCGACTACAAATAACTCAATGTACTCTCACTTGTATCGTATTAATGCTCTTCTCTTATCCTGGCTCATATACTCTATTTCTCCCACTCTTAGAACTACCTTTCTCTCTTTTACCAATGCTAAAGATCTCTGGGATGAGGTTCAACTTAGATATGGTAAAATTGATGGTCCTAGACTTTTTCAACTTGAAAAAACCCTAGGAAATCTTTCTCAAGGTTCCCGTACAATCACTGATTACTATAATTCCTTTAAAGAAATCTGGGATGAATACTGTAATTTCAGAATCATTCCTTCTTGTACTTGTGGCAATTGCACTTGCAATATATCTGAAACCTATCAAAAAATAATCCAAAAAGAGTCTATTCTGAAATTTCTTGTTGGCCTCAATGAATCCTATTCTAATCTGCGTAGTCAGATTCTTCTTAATACTGATAAAACCACTCTATCTGGTATTTACTCTATTCTTCTTCAAGAAGAATCTCAAAGAACTCTTCAGAATTCTATCTCTTTCACAAATTCTTTTTCAGATTCTTCTGTATCTGAAAAACTTAACAATGATGCTACAACTTTCTTTGTTAAGAATTTTAAAAAGAAAAGTTCTATTATCTGCAATCACTGTGGCTATCAAGGTCACTCTTCTGATAAATGTTTCCAACTCATTGGTTATCCAACTAACTGGAAAGGCCCTAAAGGTCAAAGACTTGCTCCTGGTTTTAAACCTAATCTCAATTCCAATAAAAATCATCATGCTAATCTAGCTGCCAACTCTACTGAACCTGATTTAACTCCTACACATTATACTGAATCTGCTCCACCTTCAAACAACCCCAATTCTACCTCCACTGAATTCTGTGATCCAAACTTGTATGAAAAGTTCCTGCAATTCATCCAAGCTCAACAGCCTAAAACTGCTTCTGTTAATGCTGTCACCACTGCTTCTGAAGATGGTCTTAATTCTTCAAACAATGCTTCACAATTTCTAGGTAAATACTTTGCTTTAGCATCTTTTACTTCTTATAAATGGATTCTTGACACATGAGCATCTGATCATATGATCTATGATGCTTCCCTTTATACTTCTCAAACAAAAGATGTTTCAATTAATATTCAACTTCCTACTGGTAAATACATTTATGCCACTAAAATTGGTAACATAACTTTAAATTCAAATCTTACTCTATATAATGTTTTATATGTTCCTAACTTTACTTTCAATCTTATTTCTATTTCAAGTTTAACTTCTCATGATAATATCTCAGTCTATTTTTCATCTAACCGTGCTATATTGCAGGACCACCTTACCAGCAAAATGATTGGCTTTGCTGATCTAAGGAATGGCCTCTATTACTATAATCCAGATTCATTTTTAGATCATTTTTCTACTGCTTACTCTGCTGATAGTCAAAATACTGTCTCTATTACTACTCTTTGGCATTTTAGACTTGGACATTTACCCTTTAATAAACTTTTCATGCTTCCTGATTGTAATGTTTCAAATAATGAAAAACATTGTTCTCCTTGTGATATTTGTCATTTTGCTAAACAAAATAAACTGCCTTTTCCTATCAGTACTGCTCATGCTTCTAATCCTTTTGATTTAATTCATATGGATGTTTGGGGTCCTTACAAAGTTACTTCTTACACTGGCTTCAAATATTTTTTAACTATTCTTGATGATTACACTAGATGTACTTGGGTTTTTCTTTTAAAAACTAAATCTGAAGTCAAATTTCATATGCTAAATTTTTATACTTTCATTGAAACTCAATTTCATAAGAAAATTAAAGTTATTAGAACAGATAATGGAACTGAATTTATCTTTCCTGAATTTTACAATTCAAAAGGGATTCTGCATCAACTATCTTGTGTTGAAACAACTCAACAAAATGGTAGGGTTGAAAGAAAACATCAACATATTTTACAAATTGCTAGAGCTCTTTTATTTCAATACTGTTTACCTCTTACTTTTTGGTCTGATTGCATTCATACTGCTGTGCATATAATAAATAGTCTGCCAACTAATATTCTAAATAATAAATCTCCTTTTGAAATGCTTTATAATCATGTTCCAGATTATACTCATTTAAAAGTCTTTGGTTGTTTAGCTTTTGCTTCAACTATTTCTTCAAATAGATCAAAATTTGATTCTAGAGCACATAAATGTATTTTCATTGGTTATCCTCTAGGCTCTAAAGGATACAAATTATATGATTTAACCACTCATAAAACTTTTGTTTCTAGAAATGTTAAGTTTTATGAAATGACTTTTCCATATAAAACTACACATTATGACAACATTTTTATTTCTGATTCTATTGAAACAAATAATGATCATACTATTAATGATTACTTAAACACTATTTCTAATACTGCTCCTCAAACTTTTAATGAAAATAATAATACACATATTGCTCCCACTATCACAAATTATTTAGACAATCAAATAAATGAAGAATTTAATTTGTTTCAGTTTGATAATATTAGTTCTAATGCTGATGATTCTTCTAGTATGTTACATACAGATACGTTTCAGAATCATGAAAATGTTCCTGAAGACAGTACTCAAAGAAAATCTACAAGAGTAAGATCTATCCCTATTCATTTAAGAAATTTTGATTACAAATTACCCAATTCTCTTCTTCCTAATAATTCTAAACCTTCTTGTAATATGATTAGATATCCTATTCAGAACTACATCTCATATAACAATTTACATTCTTCTCATCACTGTTTTATTGCTTCTCTTTCTAAAACTTCTGAACCTAAAACTTACAAACAAGCTATTAATTTTCCAGAATGGAAAAATGCCATGAATGATGAAATTAAAGCTCTTGAACATAATAATACCTGGACTCTTGTTGATCTTCCTTCTAATCAACATACTATTGGTTGTAAATGGATTTTCAAAACAAAATTAAAAGCTGATGGATCTCTTGACAAATATAAAGCTAGACTTGTTGCTAAAGGCTATACTCAAGAAGAAGGACTTGATTATTTTGATACTTTTTCACCTGTTGTAAAGTTAACTACTGTTAGAATTCTTCTTGCAATTGCCAGTTCTAAAAATTGGCATTTACATCAATTAGATGTAAATAATGCATTCTTACATGGTGACTTAAATGAAAATATTTACATGGAACCTCCTCCTGGTTATTTGCCTAACAATGATAATAGAGTTTGTAAATTACTTAAAAGTATATATGGTCTAAAACAAGCCTCTAGACAATGGTATTTTAAACTGTCTGAAGCCTTGAAACTTTCTGGTTATACACAGTCTCAAGCAGATTTTTCTCTTTTCACTAAAGTTAATAATACCTCTTTTACTGTCATATTACTTTATGTTGATGATTTAATTCTTGCAGGAAATGATATGAATGAAATTAATGCTATTAAATCCTTCTTACATCAAAAATTTACTATTA